GAGATCAAAAAGAATTAACCTAGAAGGTAACACACACGCACAGGAAATTAATGTGAGTCAACTCCCTGTATAGCTATCCTTATCTCAACCAGCAAAAACCCTTGTTCCTTCCTATTATTGCTTATACTCTCTCTACAACAAAATTAGAGATAAGGGCAAAATAGTTTCTGCCGGGTATTGAGGAGGTGGTGGGGAGAGGGAAGGGGTGGGGTGGGTGTTAAGGGAGGGGGTGAGGGCAGGGGGGAGAAATGACCCAAGCATTGTATGCACATATGAATAATAAAAAAATTTTTAAAAATGGGCACAAAAACAAAACAAACCAAAAAATCACACTCTGCTGCTAATTAGTCACGTGCCCTGCAAGACATCGCTTCCAGACTCGTTCCTAAAACAGGGATTCACAACATACCTTAGAGAGGTATGGTCCAAACTAGATGGGTGCATACAAATGTGGGAACCCTAGTTGGGAAACTGACACATCACTGAACAGTTGTGTTATTACAAGGATTTCAAATGTCAGGCACAGTTCTCTCCAGAATATGGTACACTGAGGGAATGCCATGTCTGGAAGTTTTGGAATAAGCTACTACAATAATGTTGGCTCCTGGAAAGAAGACAAGATGCAGAAAGTGTAAACAGGAGCTGTGGGTAATTGAGGTAAGACTTGGCAATGTTGGGGGAGTGGGTGGGGAAGAGCAGAATGGGGAGAGAGAGGTGATGGTCCCTAACACTTTTGTGGGAAAGAGGAAGAACAAGAGAGCTGGAACAGTTACTAAAAAAAGAGAGGGGACCTTTATATTAATGAAGTCTTATGTTTTCACAAAGTTCTATGGCTGCTGGGTTAGCCTTTACTGAGCACCTATTAGTGTTCAAGGTTGTATTCTCGACAGGAAGCTAAAACTCAAGTTTAAGTATCTCTGACTGTACAGCTGTTAGCTGTCAGCTTTGTGGATCATACACTATCTATTGTAATCACTCTTGTCAGGCAAAGGCAGCCAATAGATTACATGAAGTGATGAATAAATGTCACAAAAATTTACATGGGTTACATTTTAATGGGTTACATTTAAATGGGTTACATTTGACCTCTGGGCCAACTTCAGTTCTAGAGTATGGATCCAGTGTACAAATGGCATCGCCTTTTAAAAAAATTATTATTATCTACAAGATCTAATGCATAAAGTGCTGCTTCCTTCCCTGTAAAGACTTATACTATATTCTGATTGCTTGTTGGCTCACTAGAACATGAGATCAGTGAGGGCAGAGCCTGGGAACATTTTTGTGTTCCCTTGCCTGGGAATCTGGTGGCAACTTGAAACTGTTGAATAAATAAATACTTGATTCTTTATTTATGATGAATGAGCAAAGAATAACTAAGTGAATGAGGGAAGGAAGCCCTGTAACCAAGGTGAAAACTGCAAATGGCTTTTATGATCTGATTTTCTGATTTCAATTCACTGTTTGTCTTATACAAATGGAAATTTTGTCTTTGCTTCCAGAGTGTAGGACTTAGACCTAGTTGCTGTCCTCTGGCTTCTGGACCTAGTGACAGGTCTTATCACAAAAGTAACTGTACAAGGTACAGAGCCAGGGATATATTTTTATATTTTTTCATGTTCTTAATTAGGCTTTCATCTTGAACACCAACTCACCACATTTCTTCATGCACAGTTTGACGTCAGTATTCATCCAGCTGACTCACGGCGTGGCAAAGCACATACCCAAATGTAAGCAGGAACTGCAAGGGGAACATGGCAGCCTACACCCACCAGAAAAGCACATTCCTGAGGCAGAGAAGAGCTGGCTCCCAGGTTATAAGAGGCAGACCGGGAGATTAAGTACATCTTGCCCAGAAGTTACATTTTGCAGTCAGGAAGGTACCCATGGGCAGTCTCACCTCTAGAATGTACTCCAGTTCTACACCCCTCTTGTGAGCCCGTTTCAGCACTGTGGATGCCTGAGCCATCAGGTCTGTGTGGAACTGGGTTTCCTTTACAACAGCAAAGCCGATGATTTTCCTGAAGAGCGTTTCAGTCAAAATCATATGAGACTCCAGGCCCTGAAAGTATTCCTACAATTTTGCAGGTAGAAAGAGGTCAACAGCTCATTCCTACACTACCTCAAGATAAAAACTGCACCAATCAGCGAAGCGGAGGGAACTCAGCTAATCCACAGGGAGTAAGGGAGTACCATTCTACTCCTCTGGCTCCTTCCTTAACCCGGGCACTCACACTTCCTGCAGAGATGAGGCTCTAGGCTCCTAAGTAGCCTATTCTCTTGACTCCATTCAAGTGCATTCTACACATTGTGCTATAGACACGATGTCCCCAAAATAATGTTCTCCATATGTGACTGGTTGTTAAAAACTTCCTTTGCCCTCCAATACCTTGTCCCTTACACTCTGACCTTCCTGACTTCCCTGACACAGTCTTTCACTAACCCCACCACACCACTGGCTCCCATGTCCCTTGGATACATTAACTATCACACCTCCATCTTTAGCTTCTACTTTCACTGTTCTCAAGATGCTCTCACCTGACACATTCAATGGTTGAATGTCTGACATACAGTAATTTGGTAGCAAATATTTAAAATTTTTTCCTTGTATTTTACCTCCACACAAAAGAACTGTAGGCCTTGCATGACCATAGAGATGTTTTCTGAAATGTTACCATGTATGTGTTGTAGACCCTAGAAAAAGGAGATGGGCCCTATTCCATTTCCTGTGCCCAGCATCATGGATGCAACTGAAGGACTGGAGATTGATAACAATTAATGCTAACTGAGTACTTACCGCCTGCTGGGAGCCCCATAAATCTTTCATCTTACTCATGTCACTCTTATTCTAGAGCTCTATAAAGTAAGTAGCTTTACTCTTTATTTATTTATTGCTGTCATGGGGCCTTGCACTTGCCTAGCAAGTGCTCTACCACTTGAGATATTCCCCTAGCCCTTTTGTTTTCATTTCCTTTCTGAGACAGGGTCTTGGGCTAAAATTTTTCCTGGGCTGGTCTTAAACTCAAGATCATTGCCTCCTAAGTACCTGGATAGACATGTGCTACCATGCCCAACTGAAACAAGTGGTTTTACTTCCCATTTTACATTGAGAAGACAGAACCACCCAGTCTGTGTAGCTTGCCCAGGGTCACACAGTCAGTGATGGCGGGGCTGTCTCTGTGTTCCCCCGCAACACTGCAGAACTCTTCCTCAGAACGTGGGCTAGGCAGCTGAAGTTAGAATCATTATTTTTAACTGCCAATTATTTGTTCAAAGAATGCTAATGTTGGAAGAGCTCTTGGAGGTCACCTAGTCCAACATGTAGTAAGATCTGAGCTTCCTTTCACAGGCCAATCTTCCTGACAGCCTTGGCTAGACTTCTCCTGGCCAGAAGGGTGTCCCGCTCCTCTTACAGCTCTTCCTCTGCTCAGCTTTATTTCCCTGTTATGTTTTTCCTCATCAGTCCTAGTCTCCCTTCTGGGATAACTCAGAAAGATCTTTTATTGCTATGGTCAGATTTGAGAAAAAACAGCTGTGAACTTTAAAGTAATGTTTTCAAAGCCAAATGATAAGGTCTTAATAAATCATAAAAATTTGGACAAAAATCTCTGGGAAAAAAATGGCAAGAAGTATAATTCCCCTCCTCCAAAATCCACCATTATAAGCCACCAGAGAGCAACACAGTGGCAGAAAATGTTATTCATCTGTCACTCACGGGAATATTTTGTTTCCCTTCAGGGAATTCCCATGGCCTGAGATAATGGGTTTCTGGACTGGCAAACTTTCCATAGTGCTAGGTGTGTGTGTGTGTGTGTGTGTGTGTGTGTAACAGGTACTTCTTTACTAAGGGGTAGTGTCACCCAGGCTTGTTTTTGGCACACACACTGATGGCAATCTCTGGATCCCAAGTTTGATTACGTAGTAAAAGGACTTGGTGTCCCCAGGAAAATCTCTGAGGCCTACAGCAAGTAGAGGAGAATGTGTTCACAGGCCAGAAGAACTGAATGACGCATGTAGCAGACATATCCTCAATCCCAGAGCTGAGTGGGCTGCTCGGTATTCCCGGAGCGGAGCAAGGAGTCCTTGCCAGGACAAGAGAGGGCAGAGAGAGCACCCATGGCTAGATGGACAAGTGACCATAAAGGACACATAAGAAAAAGTAGAGTTAAGATCCTCTGCAAAGTCCTTGAGTTTTTTCCTTGGTGATAGTTCATGTAGAGAGAAAGTCTGCTTAATTCTACTGAAGAGCTGATAATTAAGATTACTGGTAAAGTTAGTTAAAGTTAGCTTTCTTTTATAATTTATAAAATATAGAAACATATCTCCTATAATTTCTCCATGCTGTTGAGTGGCAGTGAATTTGAGTACATACTTACTGACCATTTCAGAGAGGAAATTATATAAATAGGAGCTCATAAAGAACTGAGAATATTTGGTTTTACTAAATACATTCATTCCATGGTTTGAGAATATGCTTTCAAAACTACATTTTCTTTTTCTCTTTCTTTTTTTTTTACCTTATGCTTGTCGAGTAGTTGTTGGATTTCCTCTTTGGAAGACACGCTGATTTTCTGGTCTCCGGCCACCTTTTCTTGTCCAGTTTCTAGCAAGTCGGCCAAGTCTTGCAAGGCCCTTTCGTACTGACTCTTGAGAGCAAGATTTTGGTTGAGACCACTCCTGCGGGAGCTGATGGTCATCATGAGCTCATCATACATGTCCTAAGGAACAAGACAGTCATGCTCACTCAACTCCCAGGGTGGCATGTTTCCAAGGGCATTCTACCTGCCAGGTCTACCACCCAACAAGGAAGCTCCCTTCAGTGAGTCTCAGGATTCCCTGCGCAGAGTCCATCTGTCTGTCTTTCTTATGACCCTTACTCTGAAAACGTATTTCAAAAAAGAGCAGCACTGGCCCTCTAGTCCCACGTCTGCATATTTTATAGGACGGTGGTTTTGCAATGGTTTGATACCTGATAGTTCTGGTTCTTCCATTTATTTTGTTCAGTATTTTTGCCTATTCCTTTTGGTTTAAAATTTTATTTTGTTTTTAATTAATAAATAATGAATCACAGAAGACAAATTTAAGAAAAAGAACTATATTCATAATGATAGAATGATGGAGTCACTGAGGCAGAGAATGAAATATTCAATAAATAATGAACTATGGAAATGATTATTTGGGTAAAAGTAAAAATTACAGTCTTATCTCATACCATTCATCAAAATGCTACTTAGACTATTAAACAATAAAAACGTATGGCTGGGAATGTGCTCAGTAGTAGGGGGTTTGCCTAGCATGTGTGAGGTCCTGAGTTTGATCCCCAGCACCACAAAATAAAAATGTATAAGTAATAAAGTAAAAAAATGTAGGTAAAGAAAAGTTAAAAATCAAAGAGAAAAAAGCATCTATAAAATATAAACTGAAGAGAAGCTGAGATTGGGAAGATGGTGGTTTGAGGTCAACCAGGCAAAAAAGTTTTCAGGACCCCATCTCAAAAAAATAGTTGGGCATGGTTGCATGCACGGTCATCCAAACTACTTGAGAGGCTGAAACAAGAGCTCATACTTCCAGATCAGCAGAGGAAAAACCTTCACAGGACCCCATCTCAACAGAATAAGAGCTCGGTGGTGGTGTGTGCCTGTCATCCCAGTTACGACGGGAAGCCTTAAATAGGTGAATCATGGTTCAGGCCAGTATGGGCAAAAAGCAAGACCCTATTTCAAAAATAACCAGAGAAAAAGGAGCTGGAGATGTGGCTCAAGTGGTAGAGCACTTGTCTAGCAAGCTCCCCAAAGCTTAAGATTTTAAGATTCCAAATGATATATATATATATTTCCTAGAACTTGCGTATGAGGTACAGTTGACACTTTCTCAGGATGCCAGTAGTCTTTGATGGGCTTGGGGTTAAGATGGAGATCAAATGTCCATGTGGCTAAGGGAGATGTCAGAAAAAATTTAATTTTAATTTTTATAATCTTCTCAGTATTTATATGATTTTAGAGTAACTGAATAGAGTCTCCTTAATGATTTTGTTTGATAAATGATATTGGATTTTGAACTATTCCTTAAATAAAGAGCTAAAGAAACAGAGGAGGTTAACGTGAGCATTAAGACTTTAAGACTTAAAAAGGCAATGTTTTTGCCAATTGTTGCAGAGTAAACAGTTGTTTAATCTGGAGACATTTTAGGAGATGATGATACAGCAAACAGAAATTTATTGGAGGCATATGGACCTAATTAATGTACATACTAAGGTTGAGCAGGCCCACATGGTTCAATCTGGACAAGTTCAACTTTAATGGCTATTTACAGCTATGATGTCTGACTCTTACACCTGAGTTGCAGTGCTGTGGGAAAAGTGTATAAGGAAGTGCACAGCAGCAGGGGCTGGTGGGTGATTACATTGTGAAATGTCAATGAGACAGTTAAAAAGAAAATAATTCTTTGTTTGTAAGAGCTATTGTATTATTGCAAAATAGCTTGTGACCTTGTATTTGACTCATACTACTAATCCTTAATAGTCCTTCAGAGAAAATCCAATTTCTGTATGTGTGTGACTATCCACAACTATACACATTTTTTTACTTATTATAGCATAAGGCTGTTGTCTACAGAATTCTAAATTTTACTGGCTTCTCAGTACTGTCTTCCTACCCCATATCAGATTCTTACACAGGTGTCAGATCCAGGGAGCAAATTAACCCACAGCAGTATTCTCTATTCTTGAAGGAAGCAAGGAAATCTGTCCAATCAATCACTTTTTAGTTTAATATTTTGGTTACTGTTCTAGAATTGAAACAATGTTTCTGTTATGTTGAAACATGGGAAAGAAAAACTATAGTTTTAGAAAATCTTTTTAAAAAGCCACTCTTTAAAAAGTTTCATCTTGAATATTTATTCTTTTAAATAGTTTCTGAGAGATAATCTAACACAGGATAGATAGTTCCTTTGTGACATTTTTGTGTAGGAGTGACAATGGTTATATTTTTAAGAGTAGAAAACAATATGCTACTTCTAAATTATTTGCAATCAGAATGATCAATGAAAGAAAAACTATGATTGTGAGAAGCATGAGAATATGATTTATTTTCCTTGACTTAACATGGTAAAAATCTTTAGAAATCTTTCTAAGCATTATTTGGAAGAAAAGTGAAAACCTAAAGACACAACTTTCATAAAATAGACAAAGAAAATCAAGGAAATACTGTTTTCTTGACTTGAAGTTGGGCTGTACCACAGAAGCTGAATAGTGCTGAGTACCTGGAGCTTGGAGAGTTCTTGCAGGGCTGGCTGCTCCATCTGCAATTTGTCACCACGCCTTTTCAATTCATTGATCCCAGCATCCAGTTCCTTTAGTCCCTCTTCAGCCTGCTGTATTGCCTAGGTAAAATTGATGACATTTCATTAAAACCACTAGGAACAGTCCCCTCCACCAAGATGTTACTGTTATATCTCTTTACTTGTTTTTCCTCATTCTACCTAAATATAGTAAATACATACAAAAGAAGTCACTTTGGCAAAACATAAGAACCATGGAAATAGGGAAAAGAGGAAGGCTCTTGACTATATAGATCAACCTTCTTGTAGGTAAGGAGGTAGGGAAGACCTAGGTGAAGATGGCTTCCTTAGGCAAAGAAGGGAATGTGTGAATGGCCACACCTAAACAAGAAGCTGGATATGGGACACAATTAGAGACTTGCTAGTGAACCATGTCTCCTTTCTTGAAATGCAATTGGGAACACTGTTGGAGAGCGATTCAGTGAGCAACATGAGCGAGGAAGACTTGCTTTTGCTGGGGAATGGAAAATCCATCAATCAGCGAGTATTTAACAACTGCCATTGCTAAGCCTTGTCTTCCCAGTGTGAGGTCTTATAGACATTGGGACCTCAAGGAGTTGACAGTCTGGTCAGGAAGCCAGAGAGAAGGAAAACATGCCTGAATACAGAGAAGTGCTAAACTTCATGGTCAACTCATCTCTGTTAGAGGAATGGAGAAGAGAGGAAACAGATCATCAAACCCTGGTCTGAGTGGGCTTTTGGAAGACATGTGATCTCAGCTGCCCTTGACAATGAACAGATCCTGGACTCCAGATGGCAGATGAAACACATGTGTCCAATGTTTCCTTTCCTGAAACCTCTGCAACCACAGCAAATACTTTGTTTGCTCATTTTTTTGGAGTGTTTTGCTCCATAAATCTACAAGGACAAGGAAACAGGGAAGAACATAATACCAACAAAATTTTGGAAGCTAGAATTCAGAAGAAGACATGAAAACTGGCTTCGTAAACCTGAAAAAGTTGAATCTTAACCCAGGAAAGGATTCATTCCACCAAATTTAAAGCCACAGGAATCTCAGGAATTCCACCGGAATGGGACGGAGAGCTGAAGGAGGAGGACAGGTAAAAAGCTGCTCAGAGAAGAATTAAGAACTCAGGTCACCTTCATTCCACTGTCCCTTTCCTTCCCTGGAGAAAGACTGAAAGTGTATTTTCTGGAGAAGGTGAAACAGTCCCTACGCTGAGGGATAAAGGACCCAGTGGTGGTCTTAAGTGCCAGACTGAAAACAGGGGAATGAAACGTCAGAGTGCTGTCTGGCTCCTGAGCCTCCTCTGTTTCTGGAATTATCACCAGGCCTCTACTGCCCACACAGAAGAGGGGAAAAAAATCTCATGAGGCCAATAGAGAATGCCTACACATTGGACGCAGAGACTTTCCAACAAATGACCCTCACATACCACCCTTTAGTATTTCAAAATTGTCAAGCACTATTCTTATATAAAGTTCCCATTCAGCTCTTTAGTTCCCTAACTTAAATGCAAATAGATAGCAAGAAATGTCCATATGCCCAAGAAAAGCCTCTGGCATAAAAGGCAGAGACCAACATAAGCAAACAAATAAAACGAGCTTGGAAGGAAACATTACCCAGTAAAAATTAAACTTCAATAGCTATGTCATTAATGCACCCACAGATATTACAAAAGATAATGTGTCTATTAAAAACAAGAACAGGATGCCATAAAAAAAGGATTTTTCAGAGAATAAGACAAGCTTGGGAAAGCTCGCCATCTGAGAGCAGAAACGGGAAGCTCGGGTGAAGAGTTTGGAGGAGAAACTGAGAAAGTCTCCCACAAAGTAGAGCAAAGAAGACAGAAAGAAAGATCTTTTGATTTAAGAAAAAAGTTAAGAGGATTGGGGAAAAAAAAATCTAACATCTGATTGAAAGGAGTTTCATAAAGGCAGACAGACAAAACAGAGAAATGAAAAATATTAAATAAATTGTTAGGAAAATGTCCAGGATAGACCAAATCTAAAGAGCCCACTGAGTTCTCACCCGGTGCATAAAAATAGACCCTCTTTGAGGAATGTAATTTTAACATTTCAGAACACTGAGGACCTTTGGGAAATAAAATGATTTTTTAGATTTCTCAAGCCAAGATTGGGAGCAAAAGTCTACAAACTCTGAAAGAAATTGACTTCTGGAATCAGAGTTCTACAAAGAGCCAAACAATTAATAAAAGTGAGATTGGACAAGAACACTTTCAGACATGCAAGATCTTGAAAACACAGCTGTCGTGCACCCTTTCTTAGGAAGGATAACAACACTAACAAAACAAGGAAACAATCCGAAGAAGAGAAAGAGTTGAGTCGCAGAAAAGAGTAGATTCGACAGAGGGAGAAGTGAAGGGAACTCCAAGATGGTGGTGACAGGAAGGTAAGTGTATACCAGGTTCATAAACAACAGGGTTGTTGTGGACAGGAACAGCATGAGTCACGAGAGGAACAGCGAGTAGCACCCTTCTCCATCTTCCGTTACTACCTTCTTAATCCAAGGAGGGCATGGATTGAATTAGTTATTTTCCATTTTTTCAAAGAATACTTATTTCCTGAATTATTGAAATGAGTATTTCTTTATCAATGGCATTAATTTAGTTACATTGGTCAACAACAATAAAAAATGTTACTTGTGATCACATATATCCTATATGTCACAATTAGAAATTTGAGGTACCACTATAGCTGCTTTAATGTCTTTTAGAATTACCTGTTACAAGCCCCCAAATACTTTTCATTTGGAAGATATAACATAAAAGAAGAATTTTTAATTGGGGGAAATGAGAAATCTCTTTAAAAAGCACATGAAATTATGGACAAGAAAAATACACATTCACATGTAACTTTGCAAAATACACATTCACATGTAACTTTGCAAACTATTTTGGGTGACTCTCTGTCTCTTATATATTTTATTTCAACAGATCTCTATTTCAGATGGTTTACACAAAGATCCACTGAAATCAGGTAAAGAAGTTCTATGAAAACACACACTTTTCATGATTACTTAGCTGATATTCTGTGCAGTACCCTTCCAATTTTTTTCTCTGCTCCCTGTGTTCTCTACCATTACACTAGTTCAAGTTCTCTTTCTTTCTCACCCCAGTGGCTACTGAAGCCTCATGACAGATCCTATGCTTCCTGAGCCTGGCGCCCTTCTGTCAATCACCCACAAGCAGGATCTGAAACTGACCCTCACTTTCACTCTCAAACACCCCAAGTGATTTTCCTTTGCCAGGAGTCTCCAAGGTGAGTACGAGCACAGAGTGTGCAAGATATATGGTGTAGACAAAACACCACACATTTCATTTATATTCCACTGCATTCATCTTTAATTTTCGACTGCAGACATGTTTTATGAGATAACATAGTACCTGCATACAATGTATAAATAAGTAAATACACATATTACTTATGGTGTGTGCTTATTAATCCACTTACTCTCAACTTATGGGGTATATAATCAATAAAATGTAGAGACCCCAGGTTACAGAGTTCATACTATGTCATTCCACGGGCTCTATGAGCTACTTCCAACTTACTCCTCCAATCTTACTCCCTCAATACTTTAATGCATGCTAAATTCAGCTAACTAGGATTACCCGTGTTTCTCCATGAGTGCTCAGCTTTCTAAATGATTGCTTTGTTCTTGCTCTTCTCTACTTTTAGGCCTTTCTTTAAGTCACTATCTGCCCAAAATTCTGATGTGCCCAACTGTTCTCTACAAAGCTTTTCTTGATCCTACCCTCACAGAGGTAATCTACCCCCTTCTGAGTGTTCACGGTGCTTTGCACCTTCCTGAGGACAGTTTGACTTTCATCATATGTCATTGAGGTCTTTGTTTAATCTCATTGTTGGGTACAAACTCTTTCAGGTCAGCATCTGTCACTGACACCTTATCTTACATTTCCTAGTCCTGTGCAGAAGTACGTGATAAGAGTCAAGGTCACCAGCATGTTATTCAACCCAGTATTCAAAAAAAATTTTTTTAAAGGTATGATAAAAAATGCTATAACAAGCCATTAATTTTTCATAGACTATTTGAAATTCCACAGTAAAGCCATTATCTATGCATTTACTCTTCTAGGAAAGGCAGCTACCAATACCTCTATTTGGTCTGCCACAGGCTGTTCAAACACATTTGCCAGCTTCTGCAGAACGATGTACTTGTTGTCAGCCAGTGATGTGAACAGCACCTTCAGGTCATTCTAAGGAGGAAAGCCACAGGAGGACTTAACAAGAGTAGGAAGCATTCAACAGGGAATTCAAAAGAGTCGTAAATGTAACACAGATTCTTAGTAGTGGTAGACAGTCAAATCTTGGTGTCTGTGGGAATTGGATCTAGTACTCCCTGTAAATAATAAAACATGGGTGCCCAAACCCCTTAGAGAAAATGGCACAGTGTTTGCATGTCACCTACACATCCTCCAGATACTATGGGTCATGTCTACATTCCTTATACACCCCAAGCAACAGAAATGCCGTAAACAGTTGTCATACTGGATTGTTTGGGGAATGACAAAAAAAAAGTATACATGATGAGTGTAGACACAATTGATTTTCCCACATATTTTCAGTTCGTGGTTGGTTGAATGTGGCTGTGGAGCCCATAGATATGGGGGTTCAAATGTACTGCTGTAGCAATCTAATTTCCAGAAGAAACAATACTGCCATAGCAGAAGATAAAAGGAACTACTGACAATTTACCTAGGTGCCAAAAATAGACTTTTGAAGAATTTATCACACAAAGCTTTTTCCACATATATAATGGAGTAGAAACACACAAGTAGTAAGCAATACTGCTCACCCTAATCTTCTTGTTGTATCTGAAATAAATATATTTAAATGTCACAGCAGAAACCTATCAATAACTTTTATCTAAGAATACAGCCTATTTGAGAAAAATGTGATTGTTAAGATAACATGATTCCTGTTTTTTCTCTTTCCCTTCCCTGCCTCCTCCCCTCACTTATTCTTTTTTTCAAAGAATTTGCAAATGCTTATTAAAAGCCACCTAGAAGTTTAGAAAATAAATATCATCCACAGGTACTAAAGACATATGAAGAGACAGCACAAAAAGACATTAGCTAGGAATTTTGTTCATAAAGTATCATTTGTTTAAATGTCCAAAATACTTCTATTGAGTTAGAGTGCTACAGAAAGGAGATTGCTGTCAGAGTTTTGGCACTCAATTTCAAAGGGAACAATGAACTGGAACAACATTTAACTTATAAAAACTTTGAAAATTTCCCATAAATATCATTCAGTAAGCACTCTTTTTATTGTTGTTTGTGGCTTTTTTGTGGTGCTGGGGATTGAACCCAGGGTCTCTCACATGCTAGGAAAGTGCTCTCCCACTGAACCAGATCCGCAATCCTCTTATTATTAGAATTATTATTTCTATTTGAGACAGGGTCTCACTAAGTTGCTCCAACTGGCCTTGAACTTGCAATCCTTCTACCTCCCAGTCTCCCAAGTCACTGGGATTACAGGCATGCACCACCACACCTGTCTCTATTTCCTACTACTCAGCAAACACATATGAGGGTCTGGGTGTTCATCAGTAGCTGCAGCTTAACCCATATAATCCTCTTAATCGGAGGCTGGTCTGTATGGCAGGCACATCTCCAAGATGCAAAATTGTGACTGTGCTTGGAAGACAGGATTATCACGCCGAGGAAGAAAAACATTGTTAAGGATATATGGAGGTGTTGTAATGCAAATGCAAAACTAAAAAGCAAATCAATAGGTAAATTGTGCAGTTAAAAAGTTGAAGGCTGGGGGGTGACGCTCAGTGGTAGAGTGCATACCTAGCACAAGGCCCTGAGTTAGAAAGATAAGGAAAAAGAAGAGAAGGGAAGGGGAGAGAAAAGGAAGGAATGGAATGAGAGGGGAGGGGAGAGAAGGAAGGAAAATGCAGTCTGAATGTGAGATCTAAAAGCCATAGTTACTAACCAAAATCTAAGCCAATCTGCTAGCTCAGTAGCCAATAAATGGAAATTACCATAACAGCACTGAAAAAATGCAGGGTTTGCATGAGTCTTGATAACGATTGTATTACTCAATGGTGTTCAAGGTGAGGTCGTGTGGCTTTTAGAATTATCATGCATTTATCTACTCGTGAGCAAATGAAAGATGCTTCTAATTCATATGAATATAGTCAAAAGCAATAAATTCTGATCCTACTCCTGCTGGGAGTCCACAGTTATCTGCATATACTTATAACACTTGCTCAATTCATCTGAAGAATAGATAAGCATAAATAACCTAACACAGGTTAGAAGCAAAGCGACTTTGAAAGATGAAACATCATCTTTATCTTTTTAGTAATATATTTTCTTCTAGCGATATTCTACTCAAGATAATTGAAAGTAGCTCATGTTTCTGGAAGCCATACTAATTATCGGGAAAGGCTTTCCAGAAGATAACGATTTAAAAGTTATTAAATAAGCCAGATGCTGGTGGCTCACACCTGTCATCCTGGCTACTCAGGAGGCAGAGATTAGGAGGATCGCGGTTCAAAGCCAGCCTGGGCAAAAAGACCCAAGAGACCCTATCTCAAAAAACCCTTCACAAAAATAAGGGTTGGTGGAGTAGCTTAAAGTGAAGGCCCCGTGTTCAAGCCCAAATATCATTAAAAAAAAAGTTACTAAATAAGACAGAGAGAGATGCTAATAATCTTAGGAGTACTGACTTTTTTTAAGAATAAAAATCCAAAGGATTTAACAAATTATTATCACTACACTTGGGATACAGCAGGATAATTAAGGTACCTATATATATCAGGGGTATAATAAATGCCTCAGTTTTTTCTTCTGATAGTCAGTGGAGTTCCTAGTAGAGTAAAAAGGGGCAGGAGAATTCTAGACATTTGATGAACAGATCTGTAGAGAGTTTCAAGATTTAAAATCAGCTATGTTGCCTCATTCCTTTTGTTTTTTGGGTTTTTTTTAGTGGTGGTGGTACTGGGGTTTTAACTGAGGGACCCATGCTTGCAAGGCAGGTGCTCTACCACTTGAGCCATAACCAGCCCTTTTTTGCTTTAGTTATTTTTCAGAAAGGGTCTCACATTTTTGCCTGAACCACCATCCTCCTAGTCATGTTTCCATGTAGCTAGGATAACAAGTGTGTAGAACCATGGCCAGCTTTTTCTGACCCCCTACCCAATTGTCTCCTAATCTCTACTTCCTGAGTGGCTGCAATTAAAGGTATGCACCACCATGCCCAGATGCCTCACTCTCATTAAAGAATTCTTTCCTTCATTTTCCATTTTAAAAGATAACAAAATATGCAATTCCATATCTAGGAAATTTATTTGGTGTTAAGTCTATGGGTAAAAAATTAAAAATAGAGAATAGTTGACAATTGACTTGTGAATCCACATATAAAATAAACATAATATACATAACATCTATGAATTCTTCCATACAAGTTTTCTGGGTAACACTCTGGCAAAAGTTAAAACTCAAAGATTACATGGAAAATGAAGGCATACCATTCCAGTAACTATTGAGCACTAACAGCATACCAGATTCTTAGTATAAAATAAAATGATTTATGACTTGATCTTGCATTGCATTACCATTGGAACTCTGGTTTGTTTGCCTTATTTGTTTTGGGCGGTACTGAGGTATGAACTTAGGGCCTTGTGAGCAAGTGTTCTACCAACTTAATCCATGCCCCCCATCCCTCCACTGGAGCTCTTTCTTCCAGCTAACTTGGAACACGAACATTTGACTTGTCAGTGTTTGTTCGTGAGCTGGCCACCAACAAACAGAAACTTGTTGGCAGAAGAAAAACAGAGAGCATGATTTAAACAGAATTCATGATTATGTGTTTTCTCACAGTCCGCTTCAACAAAGTAATTTCCAAAGAATTCATGTTTAGTTTATGTTTTACTGGCACTGGTTATAATTACTAGAAAAATTTAAAAGTACCAAAGACACTAGCACAGTAAAGGCAATTTGAAAAAGGGAAATTCACCTTTGAGGGATACCCACATTTGGACTGCTAACCCACTTCATGATTGCCTGATATATAAAATTCTGTTATACCTCAGTATACTGTCAATGTTCATATGTTAAAGTGGCCTTTCTGATTTTACACATGCCGAGCGTTACATGCGTGTAAACAAATCTTGCACCCAAAACTTAAGATCCAGATAATCCATTCCTACTTTTCTGACTCCATGGGAAATTCTCTTTCCTTTTTTCCTAACTGGCAGATAGGAATATCCCGTCTAGGCTATTCCCCTACACCACAGACCTGTATCCTCAAGCGTCTACTGTGACAGTTCATGTGTGTATCTTAATTCTACCCACATCTCAATCAATGGTACCACGAGCAAGCCAGGTGATCAAAGGCATTGTTATTCCTAAGCCTTCTCTGCTGGTCACGGCCCTCCTGATAAGCAAGACAGAGTCCCTGGGGTTCCTCAGCAGTCGCTCTTTCTCTCATTCCCCACATCCAAACCATCAACACTCTCCTATTGACTCTGCGTTCAGAAAGTACCCTCAGTAGGTCCGGTAGTCTTCATCTCCTTTGCCCTCCCTCTAATACTATAAAATGCAAAAGTGCTCTTTGAGTCAAATCACGTGCTAGGTTGTGGGTAGTTAAATAATCTAGGGAAATAACTTAACCTGATGGCTTTGGATCCTCTGTAACTGTTACAATGCTGCACTTCATAGCAACAATGACCATACCAAAACTTGCTGGGTGTTTACTACGTGTCAGACACTGTTGAGAGTGTTTCACATGTTAACTTATTTCATCCTTTTAGCACACTATAAGGAAATTACTATAGAGGTGGTTTAATAGTTGAGAATACTACAGCTCAGAGAAATTTAGCTGCTACGATTATAGATTATACAGCAGTAATTTGAGTCTGGGAGTGGTGGTTCACACCTGCAATCCCAGTTCTTGTGAGCTGGAGACCAGCCTGGGCTACATAGTGAGGCCTTTCTCAAAACAAAACAACAACAAAAAACCTTCAGAATTTAGACATAAGAATGTTGATTTCAAAAGCCATATGTTTAATTTTCACTCTTCTAACTTTGCAAAATTAATATTCGAACAATTCTTATCTAGTAGGGATATCATAAAGATTAAAGACAATGATTCATATGAAATTTTTGTGAATAAAAAAAATGGAACACCAATGAATGTAAAAATTGTACTATATAGTTTTAAGGCTATGGACCCCTGGAAGGCAGTGGTAGTCTCTAGATGTATAACTAGAAAAATTCCCTGCTTTTCAGTAAATGAAACTTGACACTTCATATATTTCTTTTCTCACATATGAAAAATTTAAATTAAGCTGCGGCACTAATTATATGTATGCATTTAATAAATTTCCCATGTTTGTTGAAAATAACATTCAATTAAAATGTAAGTGTTCTCAGAAAGTGCTTTTGATTAGGAGTGCAAACTGAATGTTAAGTTTATCAGGAGCTTTTGTATTTTTCTCAGTGAACAGTCATAGGAAAATTTCACTAGTTGGCAACAGAATTCTAACATGGCAGTTAGAGGTAATAAATCTGAAGGGTCAGGAATGAAAAGTAGTGCAGCCCGCTTCAACAAAGGTAGATGTAAGTAGACTACTATCGCTGCAGAGACCCTTGGACACTGAAGGCTAGGCTCCTTTTTATACCCCAGTACTTCCTGTACACATTAAACTCCACTATTACCAACTGGTAACCGTAATGACCCACAAATTTGATTTCTGTTGGTTGAATTTAAAGTTTGATTCCACCCTTACTTTAACTTAGCCTTCCATTTCTAGAAGCATGATACTTGTAGCTTTCTAGATCTTCTGTTTAAGCCACTGGATTTTCTATAATGCAATTACTCCTCCTTTGCATTTTTAAAAAGTTTTTAAGATCTACTGTTGACTACTATTGACTGTCCCTTGAGAGTATTCAAAAATCCCATGACCCTCACTTATTTACCTGGAAATTTAGTATTTGCTGAAGTCTTTCCTTCATCTGATGGCATCGTTGGTTCACTACTGAGTCTAGCAAGGATAATCTGCCCAGAAGACAGACAAGAGTATCTTCAATGACATCCCGATTGTCACCGTTCTCAGGGAAAGTTCGGGAAAATAAGTTCTTGTTCTTATCCATTTCTTCAGACATTTCCTTAATGTCTTTGGCAAGAGCCTAGAGTTGACAGAAGAAGAATCTCACTTCCATGTTTAGATCCATGACCAATATGCAAATCAAGTCCTTTCCTCATAGAAAGTTCATAAAATCTCACTGCTTGGGATTGATGACACCAAGGCAAGTTGAACCTTTGTCACATATTTCTATACATCTTAGGGAAGTTTTACTTGAAGAAATTTTCCTCAAGGACTTTATATCATCAGCTAGTAATCATACGCCTTGACAAAAATAAGTTTTGTAAAGTGCTACTTAGAAGCTCGCTACTTTTCTTTAAAGCCTGTGTTTCATACAACGAGGATTTGTGATACACAAGGGTCTTCTACAAAAATTCTCCATTTTCTCCTTATATACACAGATAAAGCGTAAAAACACAAATATCTTTGTGAACTTTTTATATTTAAGCAATTCTGTTCTATACCACAGTACTTGGAAAGACACCCTTGTACTTTAGTACCAGTGTTTTATTCTTGACCTTCTTTATATATAAATTTAATTAACCAATATCAACATTCCAAGTGCTATCATATTTCACATACAGACAGAGATTGCCAGACCTACCTCTTGGTTGAAGATACAAGTTTCAGTTTCTTCTGGTAAAAGCGCTGTGGCAACAAACAACCGCTCTTCAACATCATCCAACCAAGTCGAGGTGGCTGACACCCCATCATATAACTTCTGTTCCAAGTGGATATTCTGCCTTTTCACCCCTCCACCCTGGAAAAGAAGCACACACAGAAAGAGTGATAAAGAATCAATCAGAGTGTTTTGAGGAATCAAAGAGAAATACCAGGAAGAGATCCCAGGGGCCAATGGCTTTTTGTTTCAGGGCTCCATCACTAGTGTTGGGCTTCAGTGTTCATATGCAGAAGTGGACAAACTCCACAGAGACCAGGTGGACCACCACAGCAAGACAAGACCAAGACAAGCACCGACACCCATACCTGAGTTGAAACTTCCTCGAAGGCCTGGTTCAGCCCATCCAGCAATGACGTCACTGCGGATTTATCTTGTGTTTGTCCTTCCCCTCTATACAGTGGTACACCAGACAGCAGTCGGTTCGGTCTGCTGTAGAGCTGCAGACAAACAGGAGTAGCTTAATTAAGAGCATCTGTACCATACTCAGGTTTCTTATTTGGAAGTGCACACAAAGTAGATACTGGAAAAATTTTTCTTATGAAACCTCTTATAAAGAAATATGACCATGTCATCGAACCACTGACCAAAGTCACCAATGGTGGTATTTCCACTGATGGAAATCTTATCACAGCTTTACTCTACTTGTCTTCCCAGCTTTAGTTCTACCTCTAGGGAAATACTCCATCCTAAATACTGGACATACACTCATGTCTTTCCTTCATTAGTCACTTCTCCCAAACTTCTTTTAGGCACACAGAATGCCTGCCCATTAAGGAACATGGTATTGTCTAGCATTCAAACTCTTTGGTGGTGTCTCCAATCAAACTCAATATCTTCTGATTTTTCAAGACACCTCAACCTTATGTCTCAAGTCATGTCAGGTCCATTCTCTCCTGCACTGGACTATCCACTGTTCACTGTCTGTTTAAACACTGATACCTTTAATTCCACACCTATTACAGTGGCTTTCTACTATTTTTTTTTGAAACATGGTCTTACTATGTACCTCAGGCTGGCCTAGAACTTACTATGTAGTGTAGGCTAACCTCGAACTCATGATTCTTCTGCCTCAGTCCCCTATGTGCTGGGATTGTAGGTATGTTCCACTATACCCAGCTCAGCAATATTTTTGCTTTTTGACCTTTTTCTTTTGGGTTTCTGCTTATAGAGCCTGCTCTGGTAGCTTACTTGTTCAGAAAGGTATGAAATATTTCCTGCCTTGGGTTAGAAGTTTCCAGAAGCTGGAGCCATGTCACATTCTGAAGCCGTGAAAGGAATTCTGCTTAGAGGCACTAGCTAACTGAAAGAAAAATTGCTGAGAGATTGAGGCTCCTTGATCTTTTGACCTAGTTAACTTTAGGTTCCCCAAATTGTGTCTGTTTTACACTTGAGAGCAATAAGTATATGCAGTGTACAAGATTGCCATTTAGCAAGTATGAAAAAAGAGGAATTTTGAAATCAGACAAATCTGCACCTTAATTCCAGCTCTGCCTTATCTTAATCACGAGACCCTGGGAAATTTCTCAACTTCTCCTAATCTCAGTTTATAGGCCTGCAGAGTGGGGAGAAAGTCAACCTCACCTGAGCACTGTAGGTATAGTGATGCCCAGACTGACAACGTGCATTAGATGAGCTCCCCATTTTCTCTTGGAAATGGTGACTTGTAAGAAGCGTCTCTTTACCTTCCTTTCCCTTTTTCACACCAACAGAGGGAAAACACCTACTTGGCACTTTGCGCAAATGACTGTGATTCTTGGAAGTGTTCAAAGGCAAAACATATCATAAAAAGGGTACTTGGAGTTTCCATTTCTTATCTCAAAGGCACGTGAGTCACAGACATAGACATGAACATGGACTTGAACAGTGCAGGTGTCCTCGAGAATGTCTGCAGCAGCAGGAGGCCAGTGAGCCCAGCATGGAGCATGCTGACAGGGAAAAGTAGCCTCAAGAGCTAAGAACAGGCAACGAGATGCCCAGGTCTGCAGAGCTGGACAAGTCATGCAGGTACTAAGAGTTGAGTGAACCATGGTGACATCCTGGGTTGAGACTAAGTAGGCATGAAATAAGTAAGGATGAAATCCAGAAATGTCCTGTGTTTATCTGACTTGCACAGTGAGAAAGCATGCAGTCTCTGTTTCAGAGCTACATCTACTGCTTACATTCAAAAGGAATGGGGAAATAAATACTATAACATGAAGGGTGGCCACAGTCACGTTCAGGAGATCTACATCAGAAGTCAAGAACTGTAGCTATGCATGTGAGAAACGTCTGATCAGAGATTAAGCAAGGGTGAAATCAGACACAGGCAGGATGTCTGTGCACAAGATAGAGGGCCTCACTGTCAGGTAGACTCCTGGACAACTGCCTCCAAGAATGGAGTGCTCTAAACTTCCCAGTGCCAGAGGAGGAGAGAAAGAGGGCAGAAGGTGTGGTATGCCATGTAGTTTTGTGAAACAGGATCAAACTGTCTGGCTCTGGAATGAGGGGACATATTAGGGCCTTTAGCTGTCTCCTTTCAGTTAGTCCTGCTCCTTTCAGTTCTGTGATTTATAGTGCCTGTTTTGACAGCTCCTCCAGCCCCTTCCTGCTCAAATGTTTTCCTTCACTTCCTGTTCAGCCTCTTTTACCCTCTTAAGACAACCTTGGCCTTAACAGTGAGAACAGCAGGTTCTTCAGACCAACAGTAAAGATCCTAGTATTTACTCTGATGGAAAAGACACTGCCCTGGAATGAGCCCAGATGGACACTGCTGACCAGGACACAGGCCTAGGCTTGGATGTCAGAATCCCTCTGAGCCATAGCATTCCAGGTGTGTTTGGGTTCCTGGCTCACTCATCCCTCTAAACTCTCAAAATCTTCTGACTTCCTGTTGTTCTCTGACTTCTGCATAGAGTGAATTAACAGTGATCACTTCCCAGGAAACTTCTGTTGCCCATTCAGCTCCCCTGGATTTGGCGTGTGTGATGGAATCAAGCCCGACCTCACATGGTATTTGTCCCAGGACCCAGCCTGACAGATGGGTCAGTGGCCTCCCTCACTGACCACTGGCTTTCTTTCCTTTTAGTTCCTCTGAGGTCCCAATGTGTTTCTCATTACGATCTTCTGAAAATTTTAAATACTGGAAGGAGCAATGGAAAGTAAGATGAGATGGTGATGTAGTTCCAGATTTGTGGAATTCCTTTTGTCCATAATTTTAAATGTTGAAAATAAATTAAAATTTAATGGTTTATGCTAATGAGGAGTCAGAGATTGATCAACTTTGAGGAAAAAATGTCTGTATATCAAATAAATGTTCACATGTAAGTATATAATTATGTAGGAAAATGTGAAATAGGCTTGTTCAAAAAAATGTAGAGCCTGGTGCACATCTGTAGTCTATAATCCCAGCACTGGGGAGACTAAGGATAAAGGATTATAAATTCAAGGTCAGACTGAGACCCTGTCTCAAAAAAATAATAAAAGCAAAAGAAAATGATAGGATGAATAACTGGTTCCATGTCAGTTTTGAACTGACAATGAAAATATAGATTACTGGAGTTACATTCCCTGAGGAACAGCTGTAAATCTCTTCTATGAGTTAATACAGAAACAAAAAACGTTTGATACCACTTGTTCTTGTTCCTGTTCCAGAACATTCTGTAGCAGTTTCTGCTTGGTACTGAATTCTTGATGGAGACTTTCCCATTTCATTCTCATCTGGTCTTCTGCAGATGATGTCTCCCCTTCCATCCCCAACTTCTGGGATAGCACAGCAGGTTTTTCACTATTAGGAGAATAAATAGTCTAAGTTTACAATGTGTACAAAAAGGTGATGAGGCTAAACCTGGTCTCAGAAATGAGAAGACTTTTTTAGTTATTAGTTTATACCTTAAAAGTATAAATTAAAATAGAAAATTTGAGATTGTAAAACAAATAGATCTTCCTCCCATTATAGTTAAATCTGAGCATAAAGAGTAGTGTAAAATAAAATGATAACAGCTAAACATTAAATAAAAATTGTAACATTTAGAATCAGAAAGTATACATTTTATGATTACAGACTAGTTAATCCTTTGATAAACAGCCTAAAAAGTAGTTCAAACCCCAGAAAATGTTACTTATTGAGAGTTTTTTTTTTTTTTTTTTTTTTAACTATGAGACCAAAGAGTGTTCAGGACATGGAATAGCATGTTGGGCATGAGAGGAAGTCACAGTGCCATGCCCGAGGGACAGTGTGGCTTCCGGATAGGACGGACTGGAATCAGAACCCCTACTCTAAGTGTGGCTCAGTGGTGGCTCTGTAGGAGAGCACTGGCCTAGCATTCAAGGTTCTGGGTTGGAGCCCCAACACAGGAACAGAAAAGAAAAAACAAAATCCCTGCACTAGCACTCCAGGTAAGTGACATTGAGCAATTTGTTTCACTTCTGCGAGCTTCAGATTTCTAACCTGATCAATGAAGATAGTATTTATTCTACAGAAGCATGGAAATTAAATTAAGGCCTACAACTATCTGGCCAATAACAGGCACTGAATAAATGGGGCCAAGAATAATGATAATGGTAACAGGTAACAGTAATGACCTTGGCAGCCTAAGTTCCAGTAGCTGTGAATATGTCCAGAGTTTTGAGGTGCTAACTAGAACCATGTCATCTGAAAAACGAATTAGATTCTAATTAACAGTTTGACACTAGGCCTTTTGCTCATGTAGATAAAAACAAGTTCATTTCAGGATAACACCATCTATCCCAAAGGCAATTCTTCTCAGAAGACACAAATATAATAGTGTCTTTAAGTAAAGCCTCTTGAAGGAAGCCTAGAAAATTCTATAAGCCTATGAGGCAAGGATTCTACTTCTAGGACATAACTCAAAGATATCTCTCCATCTGTTACAGGCAAGTTACTTTCAACACTGTTAGGAACAGCAAAAAAAGGAAAGATGGAAGCAAGGAAGAGAGAGAGGAAACAGTAAAATGTCTTTCAAGAAAGAGGGTAATAAAGGATCATGTTCACAAGAGAAAATACTATTAAGCAGTTAAAAGGAAGAACTTTATCTGTATGTACTGACAGGGATTGATCAAAAAGATAATACTGAATTAAAAAAAAAAGCCAAAGCAGAACTGATACCTATCATTGAGTGTCTTTTTTCATTTTTTAAAATGATAGTCTCTGGATTTTTTGTTTGTTTTGTTAAACATTTTTAAATTAAAAAGAAAAGAGTTCCTTTGAAGTTAAATTTCTTTGATGTACTTAACTTTCTGGTGGTGGACTGTAGTGTATCCCTTTTAACTCATTTATGTTTGCATAAAATTTTATTACAAAATCAGGGAAATTTTTAATATTTATATTCTTATCTTTAGTCATTGACAAACATATATAAACAAACAGCAGCAAATTAATTTTAAATTAGAAAACAGCCCTTCATTCCTCATGGAAAAATATTATGCTTCCTTTCATATTTGTAGCAATGAATTTCCAACTGATTTTCCCTGGTAGTCTCAGAAGGAGCCCTCCATCAGCCTCCTGTACCTCACATAGGTGCTTCTTCATTTTTTAATTCTCAGGTACAGAGTGATACAACATGACATTTATATATGCACTTACAATACATCTTAATTAGATTCACACCCCCATCATTCTCCCTTACTCCCCCACCCCCTTCTTACCACAACTTCAGCAGGTTTCACTGCTCTATTTTCATACATGAATATGAAATTTACCCACCATATTCCCTCCTTCACCCTCTGTTGACCCTCCTCTCCCCCCTGGGCTGGTACCTACCCCTGGACAGGAACTATTTGACCTTTCTAGCCTTCTTTTTTTTAAATGTATTTTGACTGTTCAAGAGGGTTTGGCCTTGGTATATCAGACACATATATATCCTGCTTTAATCAAAGTAACAACCTGATAGTTACAATTTCTCTATTGTAACTCCCCATTGTTTAATAGCTTACAGTGTACTGTCTTCATACAGAGATGCAATGTGTCAATATTCTCCCTACAGACCCATTAACACAGTCATGCTCTCCCTCCCTCTCTCTCTCTTTCTCTCTGCAGATATTACATACATGTAATTATACATGTTATCATGTGTTATAGCACTAGCTTCCACATATGAGTGAAAACATATGAGCTTGTCCTGAGCCTGGCTTACTTCATTTAACATGAAGAGCTCCAGTTCCATCCATTTACCTGCAAACGACATAATTTTATTCTTTATGATGGAATAATACTCCATTGTGTGTATACAGCACATTTTCTTAATCCATCACTTGTAGGGCATTGGTCCTTGTGAACAGTGCTGCAATAAATATGGTGTGTAAGTGGCTCTATTATATCCTGGCTTAAATTCCTTCAGGTGCATGCCCAGAAGTGGTATCACTGGAGCTTACGGTAGGTCTATTTTTAGATTTTTGAGGAACCCATAATGGTTGTACTAATTTACATTCCCACCAACAGTGTATAAAGGTTACTTTTCCCCTGCATCCTCACATGCATTTGTCGTTTGTGTTATTGGTGACAGTCATTCTGACTGGAGTGAGGTGAAATCTCAGTGTCACTTTGATTTGCATTTCCTTTATGGCCAAGGACACTGAGCATCTCTTCATGTATTTTTGGCCATTTGTGCTTTTTTTGAGAATCGTCTGTTCATTCATTTGCTCATTTATTCAGTCATTGATTCTTTGTGGGATTAGTTTTTTGAGCTCCCTGTATATTCTGATTATTAATTCCTTGTTAGATGTATCACTGGCAAAGATTTTTCTCCCATTCTGTAGGCTGTCTCTTCATACTGATTATTCCTTTTCTGTGTAGAATCTTTATTAGTTTGATGCAGTCCCATTTGTCAATCCTTTCTTTTAATTGTGGAGCTACTGGAGTTACATTTAGAAAGTTTTTATGTATGCCTGTATATCCCAGTGTGTCCCTATTCTTTCCTGGAGTAGTTTCACAGTTTCAGATATTACATTAAGATCCTGATTCACTTTGAACTAATACTGCTACAAGGTTGGAGACTGGGATCTAGTTTCTCTCTTCTATAGGTGGATATACAGTTTTCCCAGCATTGTTTGTTGAAGAGGCCGTCTTTTCTTCAAAGCTCCTTTGTTGAAAATCAAATGGCTATAGCTGTGCAGGTTAGTGTCTGGGTCTTCTATTCTGTTCCATTGGTCTTCATGTCAGTTTTTGTGCCAGTACCATGCTGTTTTTATTGCTATGGCTCTGTAGTATAGTTTAAATTCAGGCATTGTGATACCTATAGCATTGTTGTTTGCTCAGGATTGCTTTGGCTATTCATATGAACTTTAGGGTTGATTTTTCTATCTCTGGGAAGAAGGTCATTGGAATTTTGATGGGGATTGCGTTGAACATATAGATTGCTTTTGGTGGTATAGCCATTTACATATATTGATTCTGCCAATCCACGAGCATAGGCTGTCCTTCCATTTTCTAAAATCTTCTTTGATTTCTTTCTTCAGTGATCTATGGTTTTCATTTCATAGGTCTTTCACTCCTTTCACTAAACTTATTCCCAAGCACTTAAATTTTTTGATGCTGTTGCTGATTTTTGTGTACTGACATTTTGTATCCTGCTGCTTTGCTGAGCATTTATGAGATCTAAGTTTTTTGATGGAGTTTTTAAGAGTGTTTCATTTATGAGTTCATAGCTTCTGCAAATAGGGATAATTTGGCTTCTTCCTTTCCCCACTTGAATTCCTTTTATCTCTTTCTTCCATCTTGTTTTTCTGGGTAGGAATTCCAGTAGCTTTTGATTAAGAGTGGACACTTTTGTCTCATTCCTGATTTTAGAGGAAATGCATTCAGTTTTCCACCATTTAGTAAGATGTTGGTGGAGGTTTGCCATATATAGCCTTTATAATTTTGAGGAACATTTCTTCTATTCCTAGTTTCTTCAGAGATTTTATCATGAAAGTATATTGAATTTTTTGAAGGCTCTTTCTGCATCTATTGAGATGATGATGTGGCTTTTGTACTTAACTCTTTTTATGTGTTGTATTACTGTTTCTTTAATTTCTTTTTTTTTTGCAATACTTGGGTTTGAACTCAGGGCCTGCACCGTGAGCCACTCCACTAGCCCTTTTTTTGCGATGGGTTTTTTTGAGATAGGTCTTGCAAACTATTTCCTCTGGCTGGCTTTGAACTTTGATCCTCCTGATCTCTGCCTCCTGAGTAGCTAGGATTACAGGTGTGTGCCACTGTTGCCCAGCTTTCTATTATGTTTATTGATTTGAATATGTTGTACTATTCCTGCACCCCTGGTTATGGTGTATGACCTTTTTAATGTGCTGTTTTATTCTTTTAGCAAGTATTTTATTGAAGTTTTTTCATTTTTTCATCTATGTTTATCAGGGATATCGACCTATAACTTTCTTTTTTTTTTTGGATGCATCTTTACCTGGCTTTGGTATTAGGGTAATACTGACTTTGTAGAATGAGTTTGGCAGTATTCTTTCCTTATGTATTTTATGGGATAGTTGGAGGAGCATTGGTAGTAGTTCTTAAAAGGCCTGATAAAATTCAGCAGCAAATCCATCAAGACCTAAGCTTTTTTTGTTGGGGCTGGGGGAGTTCTTTATAACTGTCTCAATCTCATTACTTGTTATAGGTCATTTAAGTTGTTTATGTCCTCTTGGCTCAATTTTGGTGGGTCATATGTGTCAAGAAATTTATCTGTTTCTTCTTGATTTTCCAGTTTGCTAGAGTATAGATATTCATAATATTCCCATATGATCTTCTGAATTTCATTGGTGTCTGCTGTAATATCCCCCTTTCAGGGTATTTATGAATATATAAAGCAGGCCATGCCTTTCCCAGGCAGGTTTTCACACACAAACGAATTCACATTTGATAGTCTCGGAAAATCAGTTACTAAATAAAAGGCTGGATACAAGGGCTTTTAATTCCCTATCAGTGTTATTTTGTTCTTTTAAAAATATACTTTTTCTTTTGTCTTCCAGCTATCAACTTTTTTCATGGTTGTTTTCTTCATACCCAGAGGCTTGAAGAGTGGTTGAACTGGAACCAACTACTTTAAAAGATGATTTTTCCTAAGGATTTTGTATAAACACTAAAGAATTTATAAGTAGGCTTTAAAGTGAATCTTGTACAGAATGCCAGTACTGCACTGCAAGTTTCTTTCCAAATTGTCTTCATATTTGAAAGAGCAACTTGTAGTTGTTTATCTGTCATATAGGTTCTTTCCAATACTGAAGGCCAAGAGAAGGAAAAATTATGGCAAGAAAACTGCAAAAGACTGTGAATATACTTGTTCAGGATTTATACATACACAGAAAGATACAGACAGCTAGGGGGAACTGGAAACCGGTAGAAAACCCAGGGTAAAGACGAATCTCAGCTGAATCAACATGGAAGACTAGAGAGTCTCATCTTTGACTGACTATAAACATGCAACGATCCCTTATCAGTATTTTTAAAGCATGATGGACAACAGAGATTTTTTTTTTTTTTTACAAATCCTTCATGTTTTAACATAATTTTTATAGTTTTAGGCTTAAACACAAAAGCAGGGTAATATTTAATATACGTGGACATGAATGTATATATATAAATGAGATCAGCAGTGATGTCATAAGTCAGCAGCAATGTCAGCATTGACTAAGCTGCAAATTTTTTTGGCAGTAATAGGATTTAAACTCAAGGTGTTCCTCTTACCAGGTAGGTGCTCTATTGCTTGAGCTGCACCCCCCCCACCCTTTTGCTTTATTTTTGGGACAGGGTCTCGTGTTTCTGGCTGGCTGGCCTGGACCTTGATCTTCCTGTCTATGCCTCCTACATAGCTTGGGGTGACAGGTGTCACCAACACCCAGCTACTGGTTGAAATGGCATCTCATTCACTTTTTTTGCCGAGGCTGCTGGCCTTGAACTGAGATCCTCCTAATCTCCTAATTTCCTTGAGTAGCTAGGATTATAGGAAGGAGCCACTGTTCCCAACTCTAAAAAAATCTTAAATCCCTGTATCTTCCTTCTCTGAAGTTAGTGTGATTCTGTACATCATTATTTTGTCTTTCTCCACACACACACACTATACTTTCACTTTGATTCACATTTTTACTAGTTACCATGTATACACTTTATGACTATCATATAATTTTAAAACTATATATTTTTTCTTTAGCTTTTTTTTATACTAGTGAGCATTTCTACCTTTTCAATTATTTGGCATTACACATGATATTTTAAAAAATCATCTTCCTTTACCCAAAGAGAAAAAAATCATCTTCCTGACTTATTTCCTCCTTTACATTATTTCTCTGGAGAGGGGCAGAGTTCAGTAAAGGGAAAGGAAGTCAAAGCTATTTTCCAAATCTCTACTCTGGGCAACATATGAAAACAGAAGCTCATTAAAACTTAAATAAAAAATGTGTTAGATTTCCAAGGAAATGTTTTCATGTATCTATATATCCTCTTAGTTGACAGTCACAATGTTTATAATACTTTTGTAATGACTGTCATCGCTTATTACTCTAATTCAGCTGTGGAACTGGAATAAAATCCAGACCTGACTCACACTACAGGGATACACCAACTGCTATTATGTCCTTTACCTAACTACCTCTCACATTAAAATCCTCAACTTGAAAATTCTCCAACTTTTGTATTTTTCCTTTATCAGTTTATTTTTCTGCGTGCAAGACCTTCAAAGTCTCTACTCCAGATCAGGAATTCAGGCTTTCTACTTTCCATGTAGAAATGACACAAATAGACACATCGAGAAAAGTCAAGCCAGCTGTGGTGATACACAGCTGTAATCCCAGCTACTTGGGAAGTGGAGGCAGAAGGATGTCGAGTTTGAGGCCAACCTGGACAATAAAGTTAGCGAGATCCTATCTCAAAAAGAAAATGAAGCTGGGTGCAGTAGCTCACACCTGTAATTCTAGCTACTTGGGAAGCAGAGATCAGGAGGATCACAGTTCAAAGCCAGCCTGTGCAAATAAGTTTGCAAGACCCTAACTCAAAAAACCTTTCACAAAAATAGGGCTGGTAGAGTGGCTCAAGGTTAAGGCCCTGAGTTCAAGCCTCAATACCAAAAAAAAAAAAAAAAAAAAAAAAAAAGAGAGAGAGAAAATGAAAACTAAAGGGCTGGGGGTGTGCAGTTCAACTTGTCAAACACTTGGTAAAGTATGAAACTCTGGATTTAATTCCCAGAGCCTCAGGGGAAAAAATTGTCAAGCATTTTAGCAGACACATACATTTATTTTTTAGAATGTTAGAGAAGATAAACTCTTGAAGGGAAAAATGTTCTCGTTAGATATAATCACTGTTAGAAACATCGTGAATGCATTTCCTATTTGATTTAGAAAATGAACATTTCTCTGGAAATGTGAATAAACATAAAGGAAAGCAAACAAGTAGTCATTTAATTACTAGTGAGGCCCATCCCATGGGGGGAAAACCCTCCAGGTTTGACATGCAGCTATCTTTGAAATCCTAAAATGAAAGCAAATGAGTACATTTTGCAGATTTGGGGTGAGCTGTTCATTGTTCAAATGTCAGGGAAACACAACGGAGAGGAGAAAGCGGGGAAACCTGAGCACATACCCGCGGCCACCTGAAGTCTCTGCAGCCAGGTGCTGGCTCAGAATCTCCTCACCACGACTGGCCAGGGAGCGGAGGAGACTCTTCTGTTCTGCCAGTTCTTGTTCCAGCTCCTGCTCCAGAGAAAGGACAAATGCAAACATGCTTGTCACTTCAGGGTAACTGTCTCCAATCACAGCTCTAGGTCCAGAAAATTCTCAGGGAACATTGGTAGTGCATAAGAGGTATGGTTTAAGCAACTTCTCAAATGTGTCTCAAAAGCCACTCAGGCCTTTCTTTTGCTTTGATAAAGAATATCTAAAAAAAAAATGGGGGAAAAAAAAAAAAAAAAACCAAAGGGAAAAGAAAATTTTGCTAGGCAATGGCGCCCTCATGTGGTTTGAAATGCACTTTCACTTTTTTGAAGCCATTATTGGGTTAACTAGGACAGACTCTTTAACGCAGCAGCTCTCTGTAACCCTGCTCCTTCCTTATAAACTGAATTATCCACAGTTTTGGTTTTACTTTTTCATTAACTCTAGTAAATGATTTTGCTCTTTGACACGATAAGATATTTTAATATGCCTTTTACACAAAGTAAATGTATCAGAGAGAAATTATTCATCAATACGCATTTGTTTTACTAGGCAATAATTTACAATCCTGTTTTGTGATGATGTCTACTTGAAAGTGAAAACGAAATTGCATTTCTTTGAAAAAAAATGGAATCCAGACTTCCACCAATTCTCAGCAGCCATCCTGAGATTTTTATTATAATAAAACAGACTCAAATTGGGGTAGATCTGAAAGTAGAGTACCCGTGCTCAGGTGGATCAGAGCTGAGTTACACTTTTATAAAGGCAAACAACCCTTCCTTTATGAATGCCTTCAAAAGGACCATTTATTCCGGGGGTTGTGCGTGAACAGATTGAAAAGGCCAGTTACGTCTTGCTTTACTCAAAGAGAGAAGGTAAAGGGACAAGAAACAACTTGTCCTTTTGAAATATTTCCCTCAATTTCTTTCCTTGGCAGATTGTGGGACAAAAGGAAGTAGCAAGTGCTTTACTTTTTGTTGCTGGAGACTGCTCTGACGCTGGATGGTCCTCGTGGTGCGGGCTTGAGCCAGCCATTCCTGCATGCCGGGGCTCTGAGTGGCTGTGGGGTCAACATCACTCTCCTCCTTTTCTTTTGTGGCTCCCTGTTTTGAACAAGGCAGAAATCCAGGGTCATACTACTCAGAGGAAAGCCTTACCCCAAATAGCAGATTCTTCAGTGTGGTCTGTATAATGGAACTAAAGTAGTTCCATTTGGATGTAGCATTTTAACAAAGGTGGTAACACAAAACCCATCTAAGTTACATTTCCTGAGCAAAACAATAACGAGATGATTAATAAGAAAAACTGGGGGATGAAAGATCTATTTCTGATGTGGTCAACAGATATCATTCCAGTATTTTTTCCACAAAAATGTAACACTAGATATTTTTATGAGTTTTTTTTTTTTTTTGTCACACAAAGGCAAACTGTTAGTCAAGTGATCATTATACGCCACCATTGCTGTCTCTCTTGTGAAAGTATTGCCCTGCTGCCTTCTCTGTCTGGGTCATACGTAGGTACAATGCATGCATATGCCAAGATTTTTCTAGAAGGTTACTAATCAGTGAGATCTCAATGTCCTTGCAAAGCACTAAGTCCACAGTTTGGTTCACATTCTAGAATTGAGGGACATCTTAAACCTGCCTTTCTATTCTTATGGGAGAGAACTGACTGTTGCACAGAGGCCAGGTGTGATGGTTAATCTTGACCGTCAACTTAACTGGATTGAGAGATACCTAGGAGATTAGTAACACACACCTCTTGCTATGTTTGTGAAGGCGTTTCCAGAGACAATTAGATCATGAGGGCTCTGACTAATCAATGGTTTAACCCATTCATGGACTCAAAATCTGAATAGGCTTTTAGGATATGGTGGAGGTGTGTGAGGTGGAGACTCTCTAGAGACATGTCTCTGAAGGATATATTCTGCCTCCCTCCACACGCATCTCCAGGTTATTCCATCCCTTTTCTGCTTGCCAGGAAGAGAGGGGTTTTGTTTTGCCATGCCCTTCTACCATGATCTTTCTCCTTGCCACAGGCCTTAAAGCAATGGAGCCAGCTGACCGTGGACTAAAACCATGAGCCCAAATAAACCCTTGTTGTTTCAGGTATTTTGTCACAACAATGGAAAACTGACTAACACATAAGGGGCCCTCGAAAGGCATCTCAGCATCCTCTGTCCTGCCTTCCACAGTCCTGGCTCAGCTCTGTTGCCAGGGCTGCAGGATGTGGTCAAACACTGGGAAGAATTCCCAAAGCACTTGAAGGGACAGGAAGCTGTGGTCCTGACACTGGACACCATAAACCTTCTCGGTCCATCCTGTTAGGTCCCTAAATTTGACTTAGTTTTAGAATTCTTGATTTTTTTCAGTGTGTGCTGCTTCTATAGTTGTGTTTGCAGACTGCTCTGTATAAGAATTGGATTCTATTCAAATAGGAGATTCTTTCAAAACTATGAATAAATTAGCACAATAAGGAATCAATTAACTGTGGGCACATTGGGTTACCATCTTACAAATTCAACAGGTGAACTGAGTGTTTAGAATGACATGGTGTGGTAATTAAAAGCCAGATGCCTAAAAAATGCTCTCTCTCCCTCTACTTTACCACCGCCGGCCAGGTCCACTGCTTTGTTGCTTCTGCTGGCTTTGATGCAGTTTAGGTAAGCAGAAAGACACAAAAACAGTTACTTATCCACCTAAGCAAGAGTTTAACCTTCTTGTCTGATTATTCTAATGGAATTTGAAAGGCTCTAAAGTGCTTCATAGCAAATAGGATTAGTTCAGAATGAGAGTCTTTTCTCACCTGTACTAACTGTCAAAGGATAAATCACATGATTTTAAAACAATTCACTCACTAGATGTGGACTAAGCATCAGATAGTGTTGTCGAAGCTTTGAGTAGTTTGCAAAGAAGCAGTCAGACAAGAGCCCAGGTGTGGTCTAGACAATAAAGAAACAAGAAAGCTGAGCTAGCTGGGCATAAGAGCTAGAACAAAGGAAAAGGGGGTGATGGGACAGAAAGTGAAGGGGAGGGTCTGTGCGGGCTGGTCTGGGAACACGGAAAGAGGTGACAACCACAGCGAGCTTTGAATAAGGAGAAATCTAGGGGAGGGTGTCCCGAGCCTCCTTGGAGTGGCTGGTACAGAGGCCCTGAGGGGAGAGGAACTTGGCCAGTGTGGCTGGAATGCAGAAGGCAGAGACAGGGACACATCACAGAGGTGTGCCTGCAAGAGGAGTCATCCCACCATCCATGCTGGGGCTGCCACTGCCCCAGCCCTTGGTTCCTCATCACATTTGACCATGTATGGGATTTGCCATTCCAACTCATCTGGCCTGACTCCTGTCTCATTTTCAGAATTTCACACTTATCACTCTACAGAAACACCTGGGTTTTGTCTGGTCTCCTGTTTTCCTCACTGATGTCTCACAATGAAGCTGTACAATGATTGAGATGACAGACAATACTTTCATCTCTGCACCCTTGGTATCAGTGTAGTCCCTGAAGCTAAATGAGCTGAAATAATCTGTCAAACCTAGAGGGACTGGCTAGGCACCCGTGGTTCACGCCTGTAATCCTAGCTACTCAGGAGGCAGAGATCAGGAGGATCGCAGTTTGAGGTCCAGGCAAATAGTTTGAGAGACCCTATCTCAAAAATACCTAACACAATAAAAGGATGGTGGATGGCTCAAGAGGTAGAGCACCTACCTAGAAAGTGTAAGGCTCTGAGTTCAAACCCCAGTACCACAAACAAAACAAAATTAAAAACAAAAACAAAAACAAACAAGAGGGACCATTATGAGGCACATGGGCTCTGTTCCAAGCTGGGCCCACCTCAGCTCACTAGCTTTCCTTTCCTTAAGTTGAGCCAGTTTCCCAGCAAGAGACTGTGGCTCAGGTAGAAGCATGGGTGTGCCCTTAGTCTAAAATGTGCCATTTGCATTTTGTAACATGTTCAGAATGGGTAACTAGTCACACCCGGTTCACTAAAATCCCCTCCTTCCCAGAACATGTCTCAAAGATAATCAGGGATTCTGCTGAGGGTGGCACTGGGTGGGTTGGAATCCTTCCAGCACAGGAGCCTGTGATTTTCTGCACGTAACTGATGCTGCTGAGAGCACGCCTTCTTCCAAGAATAAGTTCTGGGACACCCTGCTCTTCCAGGCGAGGAGGAAACTGCAGGTCAAATGGGACCCAACAGGGTGACCGAATGGAACCTCCAGGAGTCAGAGCTCCAGATTCAAGTTGTCTCTAGCCAGAGCCGCTCCAGCTGACCACACCATGGCCTTGGCCATGACCTGGTGCCTTTCTCTTGTGGGATCCAAGTCACTTCCTCTGGGCTGTTTTCCTCAGCAAAGGTTTGTTTTTGAGAATCTAGCCAGAAGATTCCCTTGGAAACTTCTCACCGCCCTCAGAACCCATTCACCCTTGCACTCAGGTTACCAGCCTTGGATTCTTTCAAATTCCTCACACCAAATTTGTGCTTGTAAAACAAAACAAAACAAAACAAAACAAAAAAAACTACAGTTGAAATGTCTACCCTCAGAATGATTTGCATGGACAGACATGCAGATTCTAAAAATCTGATCTGACTAATCAAGTCCACATATTCAGAGAAAAAAATATGCAGACACTTAGTATGAGTTTTCCATGCAGTTTTGCTTAGATTTTCAGTTAGTGACTTTTTCTCTCACTTAGTCATTTTGAAACCTAAGACTTGGGACCACAGGAAGCAAAACGATGGTGAATCCAGTTAAAGTTTCAGTTCCTTTCCCTTGGGATGAGAAGGCTCTGGCAGTAGGAACACAGCATGGTGATTACAGCATTCTCTCAGTCTAGGGTACAGGAAATAAGGTGATTTCTGCCACTAGAGTTCCACTAGGTGGGGCTACCTGAGCTGCTTATTTTGAAAGTACTAGAATGGTAACCACTTTTCCAGAAACATCCCTGAAAAATCAGTAAAGATCGGGAAATGCTAAAGATTAAATGAAACAGTTCTTCATAATGTAATTTCCTATTTATATGGGAAAACTCTGTGCTCCTTTTGATGGGTGATAATGTGTGAAAATAACCTAAACTTCTTATGCAGAAAGATACCTCGTAATTGAAGACGTAGGTTTACACACCCTTAAGGTCTGTATCTCTTCATGAAGAGAAACAGTCTAATGGGGGGAAAAGAGATTCAGCGACATCCATGCCAGCCCAATTAGTCTTATAAAAATATGGGTTAATAGGGTATTCCACTCTACAGATGTGGCAGTACTACGAAACTGAGTTAGGGCTGGAGGTACAGCTCAGTGGTAGATTTAGTGCTTTACTAATTTCTACATTTGATGAAAGAACTTTTATCCAATTAATTTTAGCCTCAGACCAACTCTGGATTGTTTTTACTTTTCTATGTAGGGGAAACAATCCTTTTCATGACAGTAATTATGTGAGCAGGGCCACTTTTATCTCTGTGGATGGAAAAACAATCTCTTTTAAAGGTCTAATTATTTTTTAAAATCCCATCAGTATTGTCTATGTTAAAATTGCAAAGGTCAAAGGTGACAGATATCTAGGAGATGGTTGAAAAACACCCAATGACCAGGTGCAATGCAGCACCTGTATTTGTCTGTATTTACCGGTTACCAGCAGCATCCCCAGGAAAGCTGTACTTGTGGCAGAGTCAGAAATTTACTCAATTTAAGTAATTCCTGAGGCAGTGCAGGACTGCTGGGTGTGTGCCCCCTGCACTGTTAGTGGGCTCAGCCCAACCTATCCGTTCAGCACGTCAGGGTTTCCTCCCCTCCAAGAATGCCATTGGGAGCAGTTGGTTAGTCCTGTTACAATGGCTGTGATTTCAGTGGAAGCATTACATTAAAATCCCCAGGATACTTTTTTTTTTAACCTTAAATATAGTAGTCTCCCCTTATCCACAGTTTCACGTTCTACGGTTTTGTCACCAGAAGATTATTGAGGGAACTCCCACAGCTTCCCAGTTTCTACCCAAAATCACAATTTAGAAAAATCACAGGTCCTTGAAATCCACAAACATGAAAAACAAGGGGTCTCACAACAAGGAGTTTCACAGGGTGGAAGTTTTAGCAAGGATTTATTTTAGT